GGAGAGGAGAGGAGAGGAGAGGAGAGGAGAGGAGAGGAGAGGAGAGGAGAGGAGAGGAGAGGAGAGGAGAGGAGAGGAGAGGAGAGGAGAGGAGAGGAGAGGAGAGGAGAGGAGAGGAGAGGAGAGAGAGGAAAGGGGTAAAGGAGAGAGGGAAAGAGGCAGCAGGCAGAGGAGGAGGCGGGGATGGAGGGATGAGAAGAGGGAGGACAGGGACAGGAGGAGCAGAGTCAGGGCTAGGGGTCGCTGAGGCGGCCCATGAAGACGGGGAAGTCGCCGGTGTTGTGCCAGAGGACGAAGAGGAAGGGGCGCAGGGCCTCCAGCACCAGTGCCGAGCGCGCCACCGAGGTGGCCATGGCCGCCGCCGCCTCCACGCCGGCCTCGTCCAGCGCCAGCACCGCCCGGTGCCGCGCCGTGTCCACCGCGGCCGGGCCCCGCGCCAGCCCGCACAGCTCCGCGTCCAGGAACAGCCCGAAGTCTGCGGCACACGGCCTCAGCGCCACCCCCGCGGAACACGGGGACAGCGGGGGACACCCGGGACGCAGGGAGCACCAAGGGGAGCCGGGGATGCAGAGAAAACCAGAGGGACGGGGCATGGAGATGCGGGGACCCGAGGGACGGTAGGGATGAGGGGACACCGGGACACAACGGGGACACTGGGTGGCGCCAGGGGACGCGCAGGGATATGGGCAGCACCGGGGAGACGGGGGATATTCGGGCCGCTGGGGATAATTTGGGGATACCGGGATGTAAGGGGATATTAGGGGCGCTGGGGGGAGCAGGGCACATCCGGGGCGTTGGGGACATGAGGGACACCAGGGACGCGGGAGTGTGAGGGGACTCAGGGGAAACAAAGGTAAGGGGATACCGGGGACATTGTGGTCTTTGGGGACCCTGGGGAAAATGACCCCCAGGGGAGAGCCAGTGACATCCTGCAGGGAGTAACGTCACCGCACAGGGAGCGATGCGGCCCCGCAGCCCAGCCAGCCCCTGAGGTGCCATCAGAGGTGTCCTTACCCATGTCGTGGACCAGAGTCACCACGTCCAGGGCGAGGTCGAGGCGCAGGCGGGGCAGGGACAGCGCGGTGGCCCGGGGTGGGGTGCGGGCCGCCCGCCGCAGCAGCGCCAGGAAGGTCGCGGGGTCCAGCGCCCGCTCCAGGGTCTCCAGAGGCTCCAGGGGCCCCCGCGGCATCAGCACCACGAGGCTCAGCCCCCCATTCAGCTCTAGCCGCCCCACCTGTGGGGCAGAACCCACCTAAGGGCCACTGCGGGGACCCCATGGACCAGCACCCCCACGGTGCCATCAGAGAGGTGCCAGCCTGCCATCCCTCAAAACCCCTGGGGAACGAGATCACAGCCTGTGCCCCTTTCAGTGCCAGGGGAGTGACATCAGCCTGGCATCCTCCCTGAGTGCCGCAGGAGTTATATCACAGCCTGCCATTCCTCCTTAGTGCCGCTGGAGTGACATCATGCCATTATCCCCCCAGCAGTGATCCCCCAGACCCCCAGCACCTGGTGGCCGGTCTCGGCCAAGGGCTACCTGGACCTGCAGGCGGGGGTCAGTGAAGGAGGCCACCGGGTACTTGGCGCTGGTCATGGTGGGCACCTTGCGGGGGCGGTGCCCGGGCCGCAGGAAGGGCAGCAGCACGGTCTTCTTGCGGTCCAGCGGCGTCCGCCAGGCGGCTGTGGGGACACGGCACCGCGGCTGAGGCCGGGGATACCGGGGGCGGCGGCACCGGGGCGGCCTCAGCCCCGCGCCCCATGCCCGGGGGATGCCCCGGGGGTGCCCGGGGATGCCCGGGGGGTGGCGGGGCCGTACCGCGCAGGTGGACGGCGCTGAGCAGCAGCAGGCTGGGCTCGGGGGGCAGCGTGGACAGCAGCGAGGGCAGCAGCCCGTTGCTGGCCTCCCGCACCCAGGCGTTGATGCGCTGCAGGTCCAGGCTCTCGTTGCCGCTCAGGGCGTACGGGCGGGCGCCGTAGAAGCGCAGGGAGTCGTTGAGGAAGCGGGGCCGGAGCTGCAGTTCTGTGGAGTGGCACGGTGGTCCCGGTGTTACTCCGGGTGCCCAGCGGGCAGCGGCACCCCATCGACACCCGGTGCCTGCCTCACCTGGGTGGTGGAAGATCTGGGCGGCCGAGAAGAGGCCTGGCGCGCTGGCCAGCTGCTGCAGGGCGCCGTGCACACAGCGAAGCCCCTGCGGGTACGCCAGGAGGGCGGCCAGACGCTCCTGGGTTTCTCCGCGGGCGCCTGCGGGCACAGGGGAAGCTCAGCGAGGTGCCCCGGCTGGGACAGCGGTGACACGGCGGTGCCATGCCCGCGGGCGGCCCCTCACCCAGCAGCAGGTGCGAGAGCCCCACGGCGACGTTGATGGGGGAGAAGAGCAGGTTGGCGTCGGGCTGGGCAGCCTCTGCCATGCGCTGGTAGAAGCGGAGGGCAAAGGTGACCAGAGCCTCGGCCACGGCAGCCCGCTGCTCCCCCGTGGGCTCCCCGCAGGTGTCGGTCGGCTCCTCATCCCCAGGGCACGGCGGGACGCTGGTGCCAGGTGTGGGCACTGCCGTGGTCCCGTTGGCTGAGGTGTCCAGCTCCTCCAGTGCCCCCTCCGGCGCTGTGGGGCTGGGGGCATCTGTGGCACCCCAGCCAGGCAGCCCCTCAGGGTGAGTGCTGGGGGTGGGCACGGGCAGCACGGTGGTCCCCACGTCCTGCAAGGGAGCTGGGGTACGAGCGGGGAGCACAGGGGGCACAGGCGGTGTTGGTGACTCTCTGAGCAGTGTCATCCAGCTGGGAGAGGCCTCCAGAGTGAGCACCTGGGCACAGGGATTTGTGTGACGGGGACATGGGGCACCCGGGTGGGGGACTGAGATGAGGCCGTATAGAGGGGTGTTGGGCACAGGGAGCCCCTGTCCCTGGGCCATACTTACCGGGGTGACAGTGACCGTGGCTGTGGCTACTAGCCATGCCAGAGGCAGCCAGAGTGTCTTGGTGGGCATGCTGGTGGGAGGGCACAGGTCAAGGGCAGGAGAGACACCCAGCATCCCCCACCCCGGCACCCCGCACCCCCACTCCCTGCACCACCCGTACTCCCCACCCCGTGCAGCCCAACCCCGGGGTGCCCCCGCTCTGACCCCCCCGGGGCACCGGCTGTGGGGGGTGGGAGGAGGCAGCACCCCGGGCCCACCTGGGTGCCCGGCGGGTCAGTTCCTGCGTGTCCAGCGGGCGCCGGCAGATCTGGCCGGGTCCGACCCTGCCTGGTTAAAAATTAAGGAGGTTCCCGTAAATCAGCCGGGACACGGCCAGAGATGCGGGGGCGGGCAGGGGGGTGTGGAGGCAGCCGGGACGCGGCCCCCCGTCCCGTTTTGTTCCCGTCAGCCACCGGTCTGCGCGGGGTTCCGGCTTTCTGTCACCCACCGCTCCCGGGACCCCCGCGGTGACGGGGCTCGCCGGCCGACCCCGGCCAATCTGTCCCCCCACCCGTGCCGGGGGCGCGGCCGCAGAACCTGGTCCCGCCCGCCCAGGGGCGGGACCCCACGGACCCCATCCCCGTGGCACCGGGCACTGATGACCATGGCCGGGCGGATCGCCAAGGTGGGCACCGGGACGGGACCGGGACTCCGGCGCCGCTGCGGTACCGGCGCGGGGGTCCTGGTGTCCGCACCGGAGCGGCGGCCGGGGGGAGCCGAGCTCGCGGTGCGGGGGTCCCGGTACCGGGGTGTGAAAGGGGGCTCTGGGGAGTATTAGTGCCAGTGCGAGGATACCGGTACCGGGGTGCGGGAGAGGACGTGCTGAGAGGTGTCAGTGTCCGGTGAGGGGGTCCCGGTACCGGGGAGAGGCAGTGCTGGGGGTGTCAGTGCCTGTGCGGGGGTTCCGGTGGCGGGGTGCGAGAGAAGCCGTGGTCCCGGTACCGGGGAGAGGCAGTGCTGGGGGTGTCAGTGCCTGTGCGGGGGTTCCGGTGGCGGCGTGTGAGGGAAGCAGTACCGGGGTGTCAGTCTCCGGTGCGGGGTTGACAAACACCGCTGCACGTTTCAGTTTCGTTTCCCCGGCGGGGCGGCCCCACCCGGGGGTGTGTCCAGGGCGCCGGTAATTAAACCCTGCCTATTAAGGCGCGGCCTGCGGGCGGCCCCGCCCAGAGGCGCGTCCCGGGTGGAGGATTAACCTATGGAGGCGTCTCTCGGGACACACCTCCGCCCTCACCTGCCCCACCCCTTCCCGCAGGAGCTGGAGGAGGCGCGGCGCTGGGAGGGGGCCCGCGACGTGCGGCCGCTGGACGGAAACGTGCGGCGCTGGGGGGGGCTCCTGCTGCCCGTGCGTGGGGAGAGGGCACGGGGGGACGTGGGGGCACGGGGGGATGCGGGGAGTCCTGGGGAGCAGGGGCCGAGGACGTCCCCTGCGCATGGGGGACATGCGGGCTTGAGGAAGGATGTGCCCCTGGGGGCATGGGAGGGACTGGGGGTGACCCTTGAGACGGGCCTGTCGCACTGAGTGAGGGTCCCCCTCAGGGCAGAACTGGGGAGGGGCCCTCTGAGGACGCTGCGGGTCCTGGGCTGGGGACACTGGGGGGAGGTTCCCCTCCTGAGGGGCTCGGGCTGGCACCGGGGAGTCTCTGCGTTGGGCACTGGGTATCAGGGCTGGACAGGGCTCCCCCCGCGATGGACGCTGTGGCAGAGGGGGCTGAGGTGCCCCCATATCCCGGCAGAACAACCCCCCATACAACACGGGCGCCTTCCGCTTCGAGCTGACCTTCTCTCCCAACCACCCTCTGGAGCCCCCCTGCGCCACCCTCCGCACCCCCATCTACCACCCCAGCGTGGACCTGGAGGGCCGCGTCTGCCAGCCCCTCACCACCGACGAGCACTGGGAGCCCACCACCCGCGCCATCCAAGGTGGGCACCGCGGGGACAGGGGCACAGGGCAGGGGGGTGCGTGCCCGTCTGACCCCCCTGCCCCTGCAGTGCTCCAGGACCTGCTGCTGCAGCTGGACAGCCCCGACCCCCAGCGGGTGCTGCGGCCGAAGGTGGCCCGTGAGCTGCAGGAGCGCCCCGAGCAGTTCCAGCGTCGGGCAGAGGAACACGCCCGGCTCCACGCCGAGCCGCGCCCCGACCCCCACGCATAAAGCAATAAATTCTCTCCATCACCTGCTCTGGCTCCGTGGTGCCTCACTGGGAAAGTGGGGGGGCTCCAGGAGTTGCTGCCCTCCACGTGCCAGCCCTGCGGGATGTCACCCTCCTGGTGGCAGAGCCAGGGCTGTGCCCCAACCTGGTGACAATGCCCAGACACTCGCTTGGTGCCAGCGTTCCTCCCTCCAGAGACGAAGCCACCACCTCCTGGAACCATGGCCTTTACTGCTGGGGGACAGAGCAGGGGACGAGGAGGGGGATGGTTCAGGCGGGGGGCTGTGAGGGACCCTCTCAGCGCTTCTTGGTCTTCACGAGCCCTTTGGCCACCAGGCAGCGGTACAGCTCCTGCACGTACGTGTACACACACTTGGCGTCGGGCACCGGCAGCCGCACCATGTCCTCCACCTCCAGCAGGGGGGCACAGCCCGCCCGCTCCCTGCGGGAAGGGACACAGCGGTCACCGGGGCCGGGGGTGGCCGGGGGTGGCCGGGGGTGGCCGGGGGCACCGAGGGGCCGGAGCTGCGCTCACGCACTCGGCAGTGGCGAAGGCCAGGGCGAAGTTGTCCCGGCGGGCGTTGGGCTCCAGGGCGGCGAAGTCGAAGGCGTCGGGGAAGAAACTGTGCAGGAGCGCGCAGAAGGCCAGGCCGCTGCCCCAGCTCCCCGAGAAGTTCTGCACGTCCACGTGCTGCGCAGACAGGGGTGTCAGGCCACGCCCGGACCCCCCACCGGACCCTCCTGCCGCCCCCCAGATGCACTCACCGGGTACCCACGGGTGCGGGCGCGGCACCACTCCAGCAGCATCATCTTGACCGTGGCGGCCCCCCCTGAGCGCCGCAGGTGTGGGGCTGGGCCCTTGGCAGCCCTGGGGGGACCTGGGCTGTGGGATCCCCACACCCCACCGTCCCTCATAGGGACCCCAGCCCCTCTGTGACCCCGTGGCTTTGGACCCCCAACGCCCCACTTGCCCCATGGTCACACAGCCCCCCCTGTCCCACCCCCCCACAGTGCTCTATGGACCCCCCATTCCTCCCTGTACCCCTCATTGCCCCATGCCCCCCGATATCCCGTGTCCCATGCCCTCCCTCATTGCCCCATGCCCCCCAATATCCCGTGTCCCATACCCTCCCTCATTGCCCCATGCCTCCCGATATCCCGTGTCCCATACCCTCCCTCATTGCCCCATGCCCCCCGATATCCCGTGTCCCATACCCTCCCTCATTGCCCCATGTTCCCCCTGTACCACCATTGCCCCTCAGACCCCCAGTTCCCTTATGACTCCATTGCCCTGTGCCCCCAATACTGCCACTCTCCCATGCCCCTGCCATGCCCCCCAATTTCCCCTGTCCCTCCCATTGCCTCATGACCTTCCAACACCCCCACTGCTCCATGACCCATCCATCTCACTGTCCCTGGCTGTCCTACAGCCCCCACAAGACCCCAGGTCCCCCATTCCCTCAATGCCTCTCCTGCCCCCCCCACAGGGCCAGGCCCTCCTCACCCTCCAAATTTCTCCAGGATGGCACTGCGCCCCTGTGCCCGGGTCCCCACTCGTGGCCGTCCCCCGGCTCCCTCCAGCCTCAGCCTCTGTCCCGCTGAACCGGGGGCTGCCTTGTCCCGCGTCCCCCCTGCTGGAGCACCCCTGCAGACACACACGGGTGGGACAGCCATGAGCAGGGGGCTGTGGGGGGCCATCCCTGCTGTGGGGTACTGGGATGCCACCTGTGGGGACACACCTCTTGCTGCCCCCTGTGTCCTCGGCAGTGCCAGCTGCAAGGAGAGAGGAGGGGTCAGAGGGTGGAAGAGGGCACCCACACCCCCCTGGCACCTCTGGGGCTCAAGGTCCCCTCCCAAGGGGAGGATGGACACTGTGGGGCAGCAGTGACCCCAGAACACTTGGGTGCCATCGCCCAAATGTCTCTTACCTGTGGGGGACGCTGGGGATGCTGGGGACACAGGGGACATAGGGGATGTGGGAGATATAGGGGACATGGGGGACGTAGGGGACGTGGGGGACGTGGGGCTGGTGGCCCCCTCTGGGGATGAGCAGGGAGGGAACTCAGGCCACAGCTCATCGTCCTCGTCCTGAAGCCAAGTGGGTTCCTGTAAGGAACAGGCAGGGTGGCACTGCCAGCACGGTCAGTGTCACTCACACAATGTCCCTGGCACAGTCATCCTGGCCCTGGCACTCTCACCCTGCCCCAGTAAAGTCAACTCTGTCCCCATCTGTACCGCAGCTGCCCTCCCCACCACCTCCTGCCCTGGTTGTGCCGCCACCTCCCTTCCAGCCCCTCCTCACCTTTTGACGCCGGGTGTTGCCAGTTGCTGCCGGCGCCGCTTTTCCCTCGGTACCCTCCTCGGTCCCCTCCTCGGTACCCGCTCCGGTGCCCCCGGCTGTCCCTGCCTCGGCATCACCACCACCATCCCCGGCCTCTCCGGCATCGTCCCCGGCACCCGTGGGTGCTTCTGCCCCGCCATCCCCGGCAGCCTCTCCCCCCGCGCACCTCCCTGAGCCCCCCGTATCCTCCCCTTCACCCCCCGTGTTCTTCCCTTCACCCCCCGTGTCCCCCGCATCGCCTCCCGCTTCCCGAGCTTCCTCCCCATCCCGGGGAGCCGTCGCCTCCCCGCTGCTCTCCCCCGGCCCCGCGGCGGGGTCAGAGGGGGTGTCCGGAGTGGGGCTACTGGGGGTGGGGGTGCCGGGGGTGGGGGTGCCGGGGGTGGGGGTCTCCGAGGTGGGGGTGCTCGCGGTGGGGGTGTCCGAGGTGGGGGTCTCAGCGTCTCCCAGAGCCTCCATGTTGCTGCGGTCACTGCTGCAGGGGCACAGGGCTCGATGACGCCGTGGGCTTGCCCGTGTCCCCCATAGCCCCCCAGGCCGGCTAACCCCCCTCCTGCCCCTCCTGTCCCCACGCCCTCCTCCAGCCCCGGCACTCCCACATTGGGCACCCCAGTTACCCCACCCCGACTCCCCCATGCCCCGTCCCGGCTCCGCCACAGCACAGCCCGGTCCCTTCACGTCTTCCTGCAGCCCCCCACGCCCCAAACCAGCCCTCCCACTGCCCTCATGCCCCGTGTCAACACCCCTGTGCTCCCTCCTGCCCCCGTGTCCCATCTCGACCACCCATATCTCATCCCGGCACCGGCACGTCCCTCTCCCGGCCCCTCGTGTCTTCTCCGTGCCCTCCGGTTCCCGCTGCCGGCCCCCTATAACCCGTTCCCGGTCTCCCTTGCTGCCCGCCGGTCTCCTGCCCGGTGCCCCCCAGCCCGCAGGCTCCCGGCCGCTCCCGTTCCACCCCCGCCTGGCGTGGCCCCGTTGCTCCCGGAGCCCCCCGGAGCCCCTCGGCCCGTACCCTCCGGCTGCTGCCGCTCCGCCGCCCCTGCTGCGCCCCAGCCCCCCCGCCCGGCGCTATTTTTACCCGGCGGGGGCAGGTGCCGCCTTCACTCACCGCCCACCCGCGGGGCACGCGTGGGGCCGGGCCGGACACCCGGCCATGGCTGGGGCGGGGGGACAGCCCCACAGCCCCACCCGGACAGCGGCGACACCCCAAAGCAGCCACCGGGTGGGGACCGAACCGTGCCACCCGAGGGGCACAGAGGACACGGACGCCCTGGGCAGGGACAGGGAGACTTGGGGGTCACAGGCAGACGGACGAGGGGGGGAACACAGACACGCGGGGGACACGCGGGGGATACGGGCACACGCGGGACGTGGGGAGCGCGGGGGGAACAGATTCCCGAGGGGCAATGGGGGACACAGACACGTGGGGACACAGGTGACACGGGGACAGCCCGGGCAGGACGGCGGGACACAGGAGGACCCAGGGACACGAGGAACGGGACACAGGGGAGGGACCCGAAGCCCCCCGGCCGTGCCCGGGTGAGGTCCCGGCGGTGGCCACGCCCCCTCCCGCTCGGCCACGCCCCCTCCTCGTGACCACGCCCCCTGCGGGGCACAGGCCGGGCAGAGCGCGCGCTCCGCCGCTCCCTCCCGCCGCTCGGCAGCCGCCGCCACGCCCCTTCCGAGGGACCAATCAGCGACAGATGCGCACCCCTGGTCCCGCCTCCGCCTGCACGCGATTGGTCAGCGCCGGCGCCGGGGCGGGGCCAGCGCGCGGGTGGGCGGAAGCGCGGCGCCCACGTGGTTCCTGCAGGGAGCCGCCGCCGGGTCCCGAACCGAGCGGGACCGAGCCGGTCCAACGGGGCGGATCCGAGCGGGGTCGGGCCCAGAGGGACCGCTATCGGGGCTGAATCCGAACGGGGCCGGTGCTGGCCGCTATGGATCCGCTGCGGGCTCAGCAGCTGGCGGCCGAACTGGAGGTTGAGATGATGGCCGACATGTATAATCGGTGAGGCCCGCCGGGAGGGAGCATTGGGGGCGTTGGGGTACCGTGGCTTGGGGGACACTAGCGCGTGTCAGAGGCAGTGGGGGACCCCGGGGTGCTGGGGTTGTAGGGGAGTGCGGGGGTCCTAGGGGACACCCGGGAAATGGGGAAGGAAACCGGAGATGCCTGAGGATGTGGGACGGCGGGGGGTCCTAGGGGTGCCCGGGTGGTGATGATGGAGGATACTGGGCTTGTTGGGGTGCAGAGGCCGGGGTCCCGGTCGGTGAGGATGCGGGTACAGGAGGTGTTGGGGTGCAAGGGCTGGGGATGCCGGGGATGGCGATAACGGGGGGTACGGGGGGTGCTGAGCTGCGGGGCTGGGTCCCGGGGGTGGTGATGGCAGGGTACAGGAGATGTTGGGGTGCGGGGTCGGGGTCCTGGGGGTGGCAATGGCGGGGTACAGGGTGTGCTGGGGTGCGGGGCCGGGTGCCGGCTGGCGCGGGGCTCAGGCGCGGTGCGGTCCGTGCAGGATGACCAAGGCGTGCCACCGCAAGTGTGTCCCCCCGCACTACAAGGAGTCGGAGCTGTCCAAAGGGGAATGCGTGTGCCTGGACCGCTGCGTGGCCAAGTACCTGGAGGTGCACGAGCGGATGGGGAAGAAGCTGACGGAGCTGTCGCTGCAGGACGAGGAGCTGCTCAAGCGAATGCAGCAGGGCAGTGGCACTGCCTGAGCCCCCACCCGTCACCCCAATAAACCTGGGGCATCTGCTGTGCTCCCCTCGCCTCCCAAACCCACCCTGTGGCCATGTGTTGGGGTACGTGCTGCCCGTGATTGCTGCTGGGAGCCCCCCCTTGTTGTCCCCAGCTGCCACGTGCCATGTCCTTGTGGGGGGCACCCAAGGGTGCCCCCCCTGGCTGGGCCCAGCCCGTGTAATCCCCTGGATTAGGCAGAGCTGGGTTGAGCCCCTTGTAATCCCCAGTGGGGTGGGACAGGGCTCAGCCCCTCCCTGTCTGTCTGTGCTGAGGGTCACCAGAGGGGACAGCCAGGGACCCTGCACAGGGACACACAGCCCCCGAGGGGCAGGGCACAGGGACACTCCCAGAACACCCAGCCCTGTTTGAGGATACACAGATGGGACCACGTGGGGACAACCCAGGTACACCTCTGCCTGGGCAAAGACCACAGGGGAGGGGGCATGGGGACACTCACATGGGGACAGTCTGCACCCACACAGACGGACACCGCCACACAGCCCCGGGGACACTTGGAGGGGACATAAACACCCAGCGAGTTACACCTGCTGAAGGACACCCCACGCTGTGTGAGGGACACCTGCCGAGGGGCAGCCCGGGGTGCCACACGCCCAGAGGCACCGAGGGCAGGGGGTGGGCGCTGTCCCTGCGCCCGCAGCCAGCAGCGTGTGCTCCATCTGTGTGCCGGCGCCTGCGGGAAGTGGGTCAGGCTGTGCAGGGCGCGGGGGTGGCTCTGCGCCCTGCGGCTCCCGTGACACCCGCCGGCATTCTGCGAGGGGTGCGGGGTGTCGGCGTCACGGGAGCCGGCGTGTCACCGGCTCCGCGAGGGCGCCGGGTGTGCTTGGGGGGTGCGTGTGTGGCCGCACGCCCCCCAGGGGGTGTCCGTCCAGCCCCCCTGCGGCGCCCTGCACGCCTCGCTGCCCTGCCACCCGCTGCTTCCATCAATATTTCAGGAGCAGCAGGCGGTGACCTGGAACGACAGTGGCCCACCCACAGCAGCCAGGCCCCACTCTCCCAAAATAAGACCATTTTTAATAAATAATTTCCCACCTTTTGGTTCCTGTTGGGGGTTTTTCCCGCTCAGGATGGGAGGGGACCCCCTTCTGCATCCTGCGGCCCCCGCCCCCCGCTGGCTGTTCCCCACAGTTCTCGAGGCCTCCCCTGGGGAGAAGGGGGGCACGGGCACCCCGAGGAGCCAGGACCCCCTGGGGCGCCGAGGGGGGCTCAGAGTTGGGGCAGGATCAGAGCCAGGAGGGGCAGGAGAACGGGGGGCCGGTGGGGCGCGGCGGCGGCCATGGGGGCACAGGGGTCATGGGGGCAGCTGGCGTCCTCGGGGGGCCCGCGGGAGTCACGGGACGGAGGGGGTGGCCGGGGCTGGGGTCCCCGCAGGTCGTGGGGGGGCAGCCCGTCACGGTAGAAGGCGGAGGGCGGCGCGGCCGGGAGGGTGCCGGGCCGACCCAGCGCCCGCCCCGGGGTGCCCATCACCGCCACCCCATTGCCAGCGCCACCGTTGCCATCTTCCATCTCCTCGTCGTCGTCGTCGTCCTCGGGGCAGGCGTCGAAGTCTTTGGGGCGGAGGTGGCGCAGGTCGGTGCCGCGGCGGTGCGGGGGGCTGGCGCAGGGCACCGGGGAGCTGGAGACGCGTGTGCGGCGGAACCAGGCCCAGAGCGGGCGCGCTCGGCAGTCGCAGGCCCAGGGGTTGGCGTTGAGGCGCAGGAACTGCAGCGAGGGCAGCGCGGCCAGCGGGTCCCCGGGCAGGGCCACCAGGCTGTTGTTGAACAGGTAGAGGATGGTGAGGCGCGCCAGCCCCCCGAAGGCGCGGCGGTGGATGGCTGCCAGCCGGTTGGCGTGCAGCAGCAGGCGGTCCAGGCTCGACAACCCCCGGAAGACGCCCTCCGACAGCGCCCGCAGCCGGTTGCCGTGCAGGAAGAGGTGGCTCAGGTTGGCCAGGTCGGCAAAGAGGTCGTCCTGCGGGGAATGGGAGAGGGGTGGGTGTGAGGTGGGGTTCCACTGTGCTGTTCTGTGGCCCTGCCTGGTGGGCATCAGCCAGAGAGCCACCGGTGTGGGCCCGAAAGAGCCCTGCCACAGGTCCTAGTCCTGCCAGCATCGCCCGTCACCTCTCCTGTGTCCCTGCTCCGTGAGCATCATGCAAGACCTTGTCCCACATCCCTGCCACGCTGTGTCACCCATGGTCCTGCCCCATGGCCATCACCCTGCTCCCTCAGCATCTCCTGTCCTGGCCCCGCATTCTGGCCGTGTCAGCACCACCTTGTGCCACATCCTGTCTATGTGGCTTGTCACCCGTCACCCTGCCCAGTCCCACCTCTGTGCCCTGGGGGCATCGCCCAGCACCCCACCTCACCCACCTGGAGGTAGAGCAGCCCGTTCTCCTGCAGGTAGAGGTACTGGAGGCTGCGGAGGCCGCGGAAGATGCCGCTGGGCAGGTTGGCCAGCCGGCACCGGTACAGGTGCAGGGCCTGGAGGCGGTGGAGGCCGTGGAAGGTGTCGGGGGCCAGGACGCGGAGGTGCGGGTTGTCACCCAGGTCGAGCTCCTCCAGGGCGGGCAGGTGGCGGAAGGTGCCCGGCTGGATGGAGGAGATGTTGTTGGAGTAGAGCCAGAGGGTGACGGTGCTGGGCCCGAAGGTGCCCGCCCGCAGCGCCCCGATGACGTTGTTCTGCAGGAAGAGGCGGCGGGCGCTGGGCGGGAGCCCCGCGGGCACCGAGGAGAAGTTGTTGGCCTGGCAGCTGACGGTGGGCGGCGAGACGTAGCAGGTGCAGAGCGCGGGGCAGGCGGGAGCCCCGCCGGGCACCCACACCAGCGCCGCCAGCAGCAGCAGGGCCGCCGGGCGCCCGCCTGAGGGCACAGCGGGGCGTCAGCGCGGGGCACCGCGCCGCCCCGACCCCGCGCCGCCCGCCCCGCAGCCCCCACAGCCCCCCGGGGCCGTGCCCACCCCACCAAGCCATGGGTCCTTAGGAGAGTCCCGAGGTCCTGATCGTTCCATAGGGCTGGGCAGCCCAGGAGGCCTCCAGGCGTGTTCCCACCCTTAGGGCCATGGGTGCCCGGGAGAACCCCAAGGTCATGGCAACCCCGTAGGGCTGGGCACTCCTAGAAGCCCTTCAAAGCCACGCCAGCTCCAAAGGGCCATGGTTACCCAGGAGAACGCCAAGGTCATCACTCGCTGTAGGGCTGCACACCCCGAGGTGGGGAACTGTGCCCACCCACAGGGCCATGGCCCCCAGGAGGCCCCTGAGGGCTATACCTCCCCAGGGACCCCCCCAAGGCCATGCCCACCCACAGGGCCACGGTCTCCTAGGAGATCCCGAGGACCACAGACCCCTGGGAGAATCCCAAGGTCATGACACACAATAGCACTGAGCACCCCTTGCAGCCCCCAGACCCACATCAGCCCTCAGGACTGTGGTCCCCAGAGACCCCCTCAGGGCTGTGCTGCTGCACAACACCAAGGCTGGGCACTCCAAAAAGTGGCTGTACACCTGCGACTTTCTGGGGCTGTTCCTGCTACTGGGGCCACGCTCCCCAGGGACCCCCAAAGCTCCCTGACTCCCCCTGCCGTGGCCACGCTCCCATGGGACCGTGCCCGCCCCACGCTCCACCAGAACCCCTCTCAGGGACACAGACCCCTGGGACCCCCCTCACCCCAGTCTGGGGGGGGGTCCGTGCCCCCTCCCCAAACGGGGCGGTGCCACGTGCGCGCGTGCCGCGGCCACGTGTGGGGCGGGGCACGCGTGGGCGCGGGCTGACGACACGCGCCGCCGCTCCGGGTGTTCAGCATCCCCCCCTTCTCCCCCCCCCCACCCGTGTCCATCCCCCCCTCAGGCTGCAACCCGAGAGCTTCATCCATAATTCAGCCCGGCGGCCTGGATCCACGCCCGGGGATGCGTGGATGCGCCCAGTCGCCGCTACCGGGGGAGGGGAGAGGAAGGAGGGGGGCGGTGGGACCCTCCGGTGCATCGGAGGTCACACCGGAGCTGCACCGAGGGGTCCCACCGCCCCCGTCCCTCCCTTCCCCTCTGCCGGTGCTCCACCAGTTGGGGGGGTACCCACCCCCCACCCACCCACGGAGGCGTCCGGCGCATCTGCTCAGCGCCGCCCCCCTCCCCCGGCGCCCCGTGCCGGCGTGCGCCCCCCACCCGCGTCCCATCTGTCACTCCCCCACGCCGCGGGCTGACTCAGTTGGGAGCTGAAGTCACCGGTTCTCAGCTTCCCCCCCCCCGGGTGCCAAACCCCCCCACCTCGGTACTTGCGGGTACCCCACAGACCCGCGGCACCCACCCGCGGCGTGACCCGGGCGCTCCTGGCTCCCCGCGGTGCCCACACGGGGCAACCGTGGGGCGTCTCCACGCCGGACTGGGGATGCAGGGGTGCCACCGCGTACGCCCTGGGTCGTGGGGCACACCCCGCTGGGCATCGTGGGGTACCCCCACTCCGGGCTAGGGGTCCTGGGGTGGCACCGGGCAGCCGGTGGATCTTGGAGCGCCCAGAAGCCGGGCTACGCACGCCGGTGCTGCACAGGGTGTGCCGGGGTTCGTGGGACACCCCCACGCTGCCCCGGGGGGGCCGGGATGGCAGCGAGTACCCACGTGTCACGGGGCACTCCCACGCCGGGCTGGGGGTCCCGGGGTGGCACCGGCTACCCCGTGGGTCATGAGACAGCCGCACCTCGGGCTGGGCTGGCAGCGGGCACCGCGTGGGTCGGGGGCACCCACGCGCCGGGCAGCCGGGGGTCGCGGGGGCTCAACCTGGGGTGCCCCGGGACTGCGCCCCCACGCCGGGCCGTGCGTCCCGGGGCGGCCCCGGGGTCCCCGCGCACCGGGGGCTCCCCACTCACCCCGGGGCACCCGCACCCCGAGCGCCGCGGGGCACCTCGAGCCGGGACCGAGGTCTCCGGGTGGCACCCCAGGGTTCACCCGACACCCGTGGGACCCCGCCCGACCCCGCGCCTACCTGGGGGCAGGTCCCGAGCCGTGGGGGGCCGCATGGCGGGGCGGCCGCTCAGGCGCTGCCCACCCGCGGGGTCATGGCCGGTGCCGGGGGGGGCTGCTCGCCCCCGTCGCCCCCGCCGCGCCGCCGGGAGCAGCAGCCGCCGCCGCCCCGGGGCATGGCACGGGTGGGCTCGGGCTCGGGCACGGGTGGGCTCGGCGCGGCGCTGCCCGCGGCTCCGTGGGGCTGAGCCCTCCCCGCGCCGCGCCTTATCCCGGGGCGGCCGCTCCGCCCCCCGCGCCGGCCCCGCCGTTTAACCCTTCCCGGGCTGGCCCGCCCCAGGCGGGACAGGGGTGGGCACAGGGACTGCCGGCGGGGACAGCGGGGGATGCGCGGCGGGCGCCCATGGGGGACACGCCCTGCAGGACTCAGATGGGGGACTCCCAGCGGGGACACGCGGGTGTGATGGGTTCCCCCGCGGGGAAAGGACGCAGGGCTCGCGTGGGGAGCTGTGAGCGCGGGACACGGAGGGTGGTCTCCGTCCGTCCGTCCGTCCGTCTGTCCGTCCGTCCGCCCCTCCCCCTGTCCCACCATCCCTGGACCGGAGCCGGGCTTTGGTGCCCCCGTGGACGGCGGGACCTCGCGGGGACTGCCCCCGGGGTGGGTGCGGCGGGCCCGGGAGCCCCGCACCCAGCGAGCCGCCGGGAGGGCGCGGAGGGCGGTGGTCCGCGCACCCACGCGGGACCGCGGCGCTGTTCGTGGTACCGGACCGGCGCTGTCCGTGGTGCCGTCGCGGCGCTGCCCGGCCCGGGGCAGAGCGGGTGGCGGCGGCGGTGCGGGATGCACCGGCCCCGCGCAGGCCCCACGCCGGTGCCGCGCGTGGGGGGGACGCGTGGCCGCGCGGGCTGCGGCGGCACCGGCACCGGCTGGCACCGGCGCGTGTTTGCGGCGCCGTCTCCGGCGAGCGAAATGCCACAAGCTGGTGCGGCGGCAGCCGTGGGAGGGGGCGTGGGCGGCGCGGGGCTGACTCAGGGGCCGCCATCCGCTCCCCCTGCCCGTGCCCCCTGCCCGGCCGCGGAGCCCCCGGCCAGACACCGCTGATCGGGCGGTGCTCTGGGTGCTGGTGCCCACCCGCCTGGGGAGCTGCGGACCGGGTGGATAGGGAGGGGATGGACAGACGGACGGACGGACGGATGAAAGGAGGGGGCAGGTGGGTGGACAGAGAGGTGGAGGATGGATTGATGGACAGGTGGACATGAGGAGAGAAGGACAGGTGGACAGAGAGATGCACAGAGAACATCTGGAGATGGGGTGGACGAATGCAGAGATGGGTGAAGGATGGGGAGGACAGACAGATGGACAGGTGGAGGGAAAGGCAGGTAATGGGCAGCTGGATGGTTGTGGGACAGATGGATGGGATGGATAGAGTTGTGATTGGAAGGGGACAGATGGACAGGTGACAGACCGATGATGGACAGATGGATGGGTGACAGACAGATGGATGGGTGATGGACAGATGGACGGGTGATGAACAGACAGAAGGGCAGCTGGCAGAGCAGATGAGAGGCTGCAGCAGTGGGGACAGGTGGGGACAGACCAGGCAGCAAGCGCTGGTGGATGGACAGAGGGACAGGGGAGAGGATGTGGCCAAAGGCAGGGCGACAGGAGGGACAGCAGTGTCCTGGGCAGGGAGAAGGCAGGGAGTGGGGGACAAGGCACTGGCAGGGGACACAGCACAACACGGCAGAGTGGCATGGGAATGGCTCTGGGATGGCACAGCTGGAGTGACCCAGGGATAGCCCAAGGGTAGTCCTGGGGTGACCCAAGCGTCACTGAAAACTGGCCCAAGAGGGACCAAAAGGGCGATCCAAGGTGGCCCGAGGGTGGTGCCAGCAGGAGCGCCTCTTGGGGACAACAGGTGAGATGTCACACCTGGAGATGGAGGGGGGCACCCGCGGGGGGCGTAAGGGCGGCACCGGGGGAGGGCTCCGTGCCGGGACGGCCCCTCCTGGGCGGACCCACGGGTGACCGGGGCTCCGCCGAGGCCGCCTCCGCGCCCCCGAACCGCCGGGCCCGGGGGCGGGGCCCGGCCAGACCCGGCAGCTCCGCTCCGCCCGCAGTGGCGGGGGGGCCGGGAGGGGCCGCGGCACCGGGGACACCGGGAGCATCGGAAGCGCCGGGAGCACCGGGGCGGGGAGAGCCCGGTCCCCTCCCCGCCGGGCCGGGCGGGAGGCGGGTGAGCGGCGCGGGGATGCGGCGGGAGGAGCCGCGGGGCGCGGAGGGGCCCGGATGGCCACGGAGCGGCGGCGGGAGGCCGGTGTGACCGGGACGGGAGGGCCCGGCAGAGGGGGCACCGAGGGCCCTGGGCCGTGGCCTGCGGGGCTGGGCTCGGCGTGGGCGCGATGCGGATGTCCGGGGTGCCCGGGGCGGTGCCGCGGTTCGCGTGGCGGAGCGGAGGAACCGCTTCTGCCCCGGGGCCGTGGGGGAGCCTCGGGGGGCCGGCACGGCGGGACCCCACGGCTGCCCATCCCCGGGACCACGCGTGTGTCCCCCCGCCACACGTGTGCGGCCCAAGCCCCGCGGCCGGGGCTGCTCCGTGGGGCGCGGGCGGTGCCCACCCGGGGACACCGCGTCCTGCAGGGGGCAGCGGGGTGGGAGGAGCGCCCAGCCCTATGGCAGCCCCCGGGGGTCCTGTGACCCCACCTGCCCCCACCACGGCCCGGGGAGAGCTGGGGGGACACAGCAGGGACAGAGGGGACAGTCACTGATGCTGCGAAGCCCCGACCCGAGCCGTGCTCCCTCGTGGAGGGCTCACCGGAGCTCCGGGGGGCTCACCACCAGGGGGTCACACCAGTGTGGGGCTGTCACTGCTGTGGGGACTCACCCGTGTGGCTGGCAGAGACAGCATGTCCCGGACATCCCAGTCAGGCCAGTGGCTGACACCCGTAGTGAGTGGCTTGGGGTGCCCCAGACAGTGACCCCCATATATCAGGGAGCCCCGGCGTCCCCCAGCTGCTGTAACACCCCCAGTCTGCAATATTTTTTGCCACTCAGGTGGCTAAAAATAGTACAGGTCCCCTCGGGCCGGCCCCGCCCGGCTCTGTGCAGGTTAATCTTCAGCTGCTGGTCACTGTAATGAGGCCTCATTACCTGACATCACAGCAGGCAGGGCACTGGGACAGGCTCTGGGCAGTGACACGGTGACAGGGGCTCGGTGCAGCACAGCCAGGCTGTGTGTGGGTGAGGGAGGTGGGGGGACACGGAGGACAGTGAACTGGGGGTGACGTGGCCTTGGTGGCCTTGCCACCCAGCTGTGGGTCACGGGGGAGTCCCAGCTGCGTTGTGGGGTGACCTGTTGTCAGCCCCAGTGCAGTGCAGTGCTTGGGGTAGCAGCGTCCCCAGGAGATATGTCATGGTCCCCAGCAGTGGGAGGGGATTCCTGGAGACATGACAGGGTCCCCCAGGGGGTGGCAGGGTCTTAGAGATGTGACAATGTCCCTGAGAGCTGTGCCTGGGTCCCCAAGGGAGAGCCCCAGGAGCTGTGCTGGGGCTCTGGGGGGTGTGTCACTGTCCCCTGCAGCGTGCCTGTGTCCCCAGGGGCTGTGCCAGCATCTCCAGGGATTGTGCCAGTTTCCCAAACACTGTGCCAGGCCCCGGGAGGGCATGTGTTTGTGTCCTCGGGGGGGTTGCCAATGTCCCCAGGGGCTGTGACAGCGTCACCAGGAAGAGTGCCAGTTTCCCAAGGGCTGTGCCAGGTCCCCAGCAGAGTGCTGGTGTCCCTGGGGTGAGGCGTGTTGTTGTGGTGTCCCCAGTGCTCACACCGGGTGTGCAGCATTGTGCCAGTGTCCCTTGGCTGTGCCAGGTCCCCTGGGGATGCTGGTGTCCCTGGGAGGATGTTGGTGTTCCCAGGGTTGTGTTGTCACCAGATCACGCACTTGGATGCCCAGCAGTGTGCCAGCGTCCCCAGGGTTGTGCCAGATCCTGGGCCAGGCTGGTTTGGGGCAATAGGGACAGCACAGGGCGGTCCTGGCACAGTGAGGGGACTGAGCCCACACCGGGGGGCCCGAGGCACTATCAGGGACTGCCATCCTGGGGGACCCACGCGTGCTCCCGGGAGATTCGGGGGGAGGCACTGGGGTGCAGAGGTGCATCCCAGCCACGCTGCCGGGGTTCAAACTCTGCGGTGGCGGTGAAGGTGACGGTGACAACAGGAAGGCCTGGCCTCGTGCAGGTGGGTGAGGGGTGCAGGACGGGAGTCAGCAGGCACAGTCGTGTGTGCAAGTGTGCATGCCTGTAAGCCTGCGTGTGTGCCTGTGAACAGCTGTGTGTGTGTGACTGTAAATGTGTGTGTGCGCTTATAAATGTGTGTGTGTGCCCACAAACCTGTGTGTGCCCCTGCAAATCTGTGTGTGGGTCTGTCAATGGCTGCGTGCCACATGTCAACAGCTGTCCCTACGTGTGTGGACCCTGGCTGCTGCAGAGCCCTGCCCTGTGCCCTGGCACATGGGAGGACACTGGTGCCAGCCACTGTGGCCAGGGACGAGGGGCAGAGCCGGGGCCACAGTGACCTTTGCCCAGGTGGCCACATGCTGCCAGGTGTCACTGTGCACCCCAGGCGTCCCTGTGCCCCCGGTGGGTGCCAGCATGGTGTGACGCCTGGCCTTTGTCACCCACAGGCTCGGCAAAGACGCCCCAGGCTGGTGACAGCCCGGGCCAGTGGCCGCCTGGGCAGGGGACATGGCGGAGGGCGCGGGGCTGGCCAAGCGCCTGGGGACCCTCCTGTCGGGGCTGCTGGAGTGCGGCGCCTTCTGCGGCATCATCTTCGGCTGGGCCTCCCTCGTCTTCGTCCTCAAGGACCTGGGCTACTTTGAGGGGCTGTGCCAGCCCTCCGCCACCCCCGGCCCCAACTTCACTCTGGGGTCTGGTATGGACCTGCACCTGTCCCCACGGTCCCCTGACTCGTGACCCCACTGTCCCAATGCCCCGTGCTGTCCCATGCCCCCATTGTGCCTGTGCCTTTGCTGTCTGCAGTGTCCCGATGCCCTGCAGTGCTGTGTCCCCACTGTCTCCAAGCCCATGTGCCTACTGTCCCCCAGTCCATGTCTCCGGTATCATCATGTCCGTGGTGTCCCCACATGCCTGGTGTCCCCTGCATCTCTGCTGACTCATGTCCCCGGGTGCCTGTGTCCCCACACCCGTGCTATTCCCGGTGTCCCCATGCCCCACTTGTGGCCGTTCCCAGACTGCAGCAGGCAGGATGAGCAGTTCTCCCTGGTCTTCACCATCGGCTCCTTCATGAACAACTTCATGACCTTCCCCATGGGCATCGTCTTTGACCGCTTTGGCACCACAGCTGCGCGCCTCATCGCCATGTGAGCCCTGCGCCGGGGGGACACGGGGGACAGGGCTGGGGGGCTCCTGAGAACAGGGGGTTGTTGGGGTGGCCTGGCTCCCAAAGGGCTGGGTAGGGGAATCACCTGATTCCCAGGATCTCATTCCCATGTGTCACCGCTGTCCCCTTTAGCTCCCTCTACACTGGCGGGACCCTGCTCGTCGCCTTCTCCACCCCAGGTGAGACCCAGGGGGTCCCCAGCCCTGGGGGGGACCTCTTCGGTAGCCCCTGTCCCCACTGACCCCTGTGTCCCAGAGCTGGCAGTGCTGCTCTTCCCGGCCATGTCCATGCTGTCGGTGGGTGGCATCCTCCTCATCCTCACCAACATGCAGGTGGGTTCCCCCTGCACCCCGACACCCACCCTGCTGGCACGGGAGGGCTCTGATGGCACACAGGGGTCTCTTGGTGCCAGGTGGGGAACCTGTTTGGGAACTACCGCTCCATCATCATCACCCTCTACAACGGGGCCTTCGACTCCTCCTCCGCCGTCTTCCTCATCGTCAAGGTGGGTGCAAGGGACGTGGCAGTGGTGGCAGGGGAGGACAGAGCTGGGAACAGTTGGGTCACATCTACAGACATATTGGGGACACAGCTGAGCCACTGCTGGGGCCACATATGGGGACACACCTAGGCCCTGAGCAGCTGGCCGGTGGCAGCCTGTCTCTCTCTGTCCCCGACTCTGTCCTTGTCCCCAGCTGCTGTACGAGCACGGGCTGTCCCTGCGGGCCATGTTCCTCTTCCTGGCAGCCTGCAGCGCCTGGCACCTCCTGCGCACTCTCTTCCTGATGCCGCGGAGCCGCATCCCCTACCCGCTGCCCCCCGGTTACGACTACGGGTACGGGGGGCTGCCTGCACCCTGCCGGGGCTCTGGGGAGAGGGTGGCTGGGTCCCACCCTGCGGGCAGCGGGTCCTGTCCCCTGGGCAGGTCCGGCCCCAGCGGGTGGACGCAGGGTGACAGAGGCCCTGCCGCAGGCTGCGGTGCCGGGGGCGTTCCCGCTCCTACCGGACCCACAAGGACAAGCAGCCCCCGGGAGAGGCTGGACCCGAGGAGACACCCCTGGAAGCGCCCGTAGCTCGAGGTGCCGGAGCGGGGATCTGCTCGGTGGGGTGGGGCTTGTATTTGGGGAGGGCGTGAGCGGGTGGGCGTGATCACAGCTGGCGCTGGGTGGTGCTATGTAAATTAAGGGTGTGGCTTGATATGTGTAATTGCATATGCAAATCAATGGGTGGTGCCTCCTGATGGATGGGCGTGGCTGTTATGGGCGTGGCTGGAGGACCGCTGGGATATGCAAATAACCGCTGGGTGTGGCAGCGCGTGGGCGTGGCCAAAAGGTGGGCACGGTGACATCTCTGAATGGGCAGGGTCATACCGGCGGCTGTGAGGCCTCAGTGGGTGACAGGGACAAGGTGTGGGTGCGGCCTGGGGGGGGTTGTGTCTGTATGTGCCCTGCCCTGACACCTGCACAGGTGGGGACGCCCCCGGGACGCCGTTCCGGGCCTGCGCCTGCTCGTGGCTCTTCACCTGGCACGTGGCCTGGCTCTCGGTGATGCAGCTGCGGCACTACCTGTTCATCGGTACCCTCAACCCGCAGCTTGAGCACCTGGCGGGGGGGGACCACACCCTGGGTAAGGCATGGCGACGGGGGGGACATGGCAGGGACCCCCAGGGCCGTCCCCGCCCACCTGATGCTGTCCCCCCACAGTGAGCACCTACACCAACGCCTTCGCCTTCACCCAGCTCTGCGGGGTGCTCTGTGCCCCCTGGAACGGCCTCATCCTCGACCGGCACAAGCGGGGAAAAGCCCCCCGCCCTGAGGGTAACTGTCCCCCCACCCCACGGGCAGCTGAGCCCCCAGCAGGACACTCCTTGGCCCTGCACTATGGGGGTAACCACTCCTCCCAGTCCTGTGCTCCCTGTCCCCTGTGTCCTCATTGCTGCCACCACCACTGTGCCTGAGCTCACGGCACCTGGAGAAGGGACACAGGGGGGCCGTGTCCCCATGCCGTGACCCCCATGCCCACAGGGCTCCTGGCCGCGCTGGCAGACCTGCGGTCGGCGGTGCTGTCGCTGGTGGTGACGGTGGCACTGTGCCTGCTGTTCTCTGTGTTTGCTGCCGTGCCTGTCCTGCCCGCCCAGTTCGGCACCTTCGTGCTGCAGGTCATCAGCCGCTCCTTCCTGTACGGCGGCAACGCCGCCTTCCTGGCCATCGCGTGAGTGGGGACAGCCACGGCCATGGGGACGGAGGGTTCAGGGTGGCAGGGCATGGTGGCATCCTTGTTGTGGGTGTGACAGGGGGCAGATGGGTGGCATGGTCAGGATTGGGTGGCAGGGGATGGCGGTGGGGCTGCAGGGTGGCAGACATGGTGGAGGTGTCAGGGGACAGGGGACTGGGGTGGGGCTGTCAGAGCTCAGGAGGGGGCCAGGGTGGGGTGGCAGGAGGTGCCCGTTGGTGACGTGGGTGCCTGGCAGGTTCCCCCCGCAGCACTTCGGGAAGCTCTACGGGCTGGCCATGGCACTGTCAGCGCTGGTGGCCCTGCTGCAGTACCCCTGCGTCGCCCTGGTGCAGGGGCCGCTCCAGGGGGACCCCTTCTATGTGAGTGTGCCCTGTGGGCCCCCCGAGTGAGGGCTGGGGGGCTGCTCCACGGGGAAATGGGGGTCCTGCCCTGGGATGGAAGGGAGCTTGCCACATGGGGAGATGGGGGGTCTCATCCCTTGGGAAAATGGGGATCCTGGTGCTGCCCATGTGAAAATGGGGATGCTGCCCCAGGAGGGATGGAATCCTTCCCACAGGAGTGGCGGGGTCTTATGCCATGAAAAATGGGGGTCCTGCACCAGAGAGGGATGGGTGTCCTGCTCCTGGGGAAATGGAGGTGCCCCAAGTGTCCTGGCCTAACAGAGGGAATGGGGGGAGGACTCCCCAGATCCCTGCCCTGACACTCTTCCCCTCTGCAGATGAACCTGGGGCTCATTGCCGTGGTGCTGGTGGCCTTTGTCAGCCCTGTGGTGGTTGCCCGCGAGTGCCAGCGGCGAGCCAAGGAGCTGGGGATGGCTGGCACACCCCTGGCAGCCGCTCCTGGCACTGAGATCCACGCCGAGACCCCACACTGAGCCCCACACCCAGAGCACCATTTTTGTAGCAGCCTGGGGGTGCTGTGCCCAGTGGGGTGGGGGGGTTGGGCATAATAAACATCGCTGCCCCCTCCGCTTGCTGTGCTGTCCCCACGAGTCCCCAGCCCTGTCCCCAGGCCCCTGGTGCACACAGACATGGCTCAGGACATCTCTGCTTTACTGGGAAAGGAACTGGGATGCCATGGCAGTGCTGGGAGTTCAGTACTGGCAGATGAAGGGGCGCAGCTGGAAGCAGAAGCGGCTTCGCCAGAGCCCATCTGGGGACAAGGATAGTATCAGGGCCATGGGTGGTTCCCAGGTCCCCTCAGTACCCTGCAACCACTTCCAGCGCCCCCTATATCCCCCCTTGGCTACCCCAGTGCCCTGTAACCCCTCCCTGTTCCCCTCCCAGTGCCCTCGGTGCTCCCCTCCGTTCAGCCAGTGCCCTGTAGACCCCTCCCCATAGTGCCCTCCCAGTGTTCCTGCAATGCCCCAGCAGCCTGTGCTCCCCTCCCCAGCACCCCCCAAGCCAGGACATGGTGGGTGGGTGACCTTACCTCGGATGCTGAGGGTGGTGCAGGTGGTGACAATACCGTAGGGGTGGGTGGGTGCCCAGTTCGCATAGTTCCAGGGGCTGGAGTCCTCCCAGTAGGACTCACACTGTCCCGCCTGCTGTGCCAACATCTCAGTCCCCAGGGAGAGCCCCCACCACCCCTACCCAGCCCATTGACCCCAAAAACCAGCCCCAGCAATCAATGGCCAGCCCCTCATGCCTCAAAACCCAGCCTCCAGCCCCAGGCTCGTCCCCGATGAAGCAGCCCCAGCCCCAGCCCCTCACTCCCCAGAGCAGCCCCCAGCCGATCTCGCCAGCTCCCAGCAGCCCTTTGGCAGCCCCTTGTCCCCGGAGTTCCCTCACCCTGCGGCTGGTGACAGCTCCAATCCAGGGTGAGATGATGGTGTGGTAGGTTTTTGCCAGTTTCTGCAGCTCCTGGTTGCGGGCGGCGCTGTGCACCGAGACCAGCTGGCCCCGGTACACGTCCTGGCAGTAGCGCTGCGGGACGGGCACGGGCTGGCTCCGGGCACTCACCTGTGCCCACGGGCACCTCCCGGCAGTGCTGCCATGGCACGGGCACGGCCTGGCACCCCCTGTGCCCCATGTCCCCTCACCTGGGCGCCCGAGTAGGTGCGCAGCTTCTTCACCACCACGTAGTGCAGCTGGGCGGTCTCACCAGCGGGGAGCCCCCGGAGCTGGCAGGGGGCTGCAGGGCACAGCAGGGGGAGGGTTGGTACCGGGGGTCCCTCCGCCACCCAGCGCCAGCATCAGCGCTGTGGGCATGGCAGGGACTGAGGGTGTCCCCAGGGTGTCCCTGGGAGTGAGCAGGGGTGTGGGGGTCACTCAGTGGGGCAGGGGGACACTCACCAGGGTGGCTTGCAGAGACAGTGCCCATCAGGGCGAGAGCGAGCAGCAGGCAGGGCCACATGGTAGCAGGACATGCAGGAACACTGGGGACACCACCAGCACCCTCTGGAGATGCCACAGCCCTGTCACTCTTGGCCACCCCCCACCATGGTCCAGAGCCCCTCTGCCACCCTTGGTAACAATCTCTTCTCTCTGTGGCCCTTCTGCTATACCCCATGTCCCCACTGTCCTTCTGCCACCCCAGTTCCACCTTGTGTCTCTCACCTCATCCTGCCCCTCTGTGCCGCATATCCCCCCTGTCCTTCCACCTTCCCCTGTGCCACTCCCACATACTCCTGGCATCCCAGAGACCCCCGTGTCCCCCAACACCCTTGTCCCAGCCTCAGGGATGCCCACCCCTGGTCCCCACCCCAACAGCCAGGGGCTGAGCCCACTCTGAAGTCCCCCTCCATGTCCCTGTCCCCATCCCTGCTCCTCACCTGGGGTCTGGGGGAGCTCTGCCCCTTGTCCCCCTTTATAGGGGGAACAGGGCCACATGTCACCACCACAGCCTTGCGCCACCCAGCCTGGCCCTGGGGACACCATGGGGACACTGGGAGGGGGGGAGGGAGTCCTTGCCCACAGTGGGACAGACATGGCCCCCAGGGAGGGGGGACTGCAGGTTGGGGGGTGCCCAAGGCAGCGGGTGGGTGCTGGGGGGTGGAGGAATGGGGGCTGCTCCAGTTTGAGGGGTGTAAGATGGGCTTATGGGGTACAGCATGTACTGGGGGGGTGCTGGGGGTGCAGAGGGGACGTTGGGGTGCTGATACCATCTACTGCTGGCCATGCTTGCCCAAGGGCTGTTTCCTTTCTAACGGCTGTGGCCCCCTGGGTCTGGCCTGGCCGTTTGCCCACACACCCCCTTGAACTCCCCCTAAATCTCCCATTCCCCTGCAGCACCCCCAGCCCACAGCTGAGCACCCACAGCCCCCCCACCAGGGACTCTGCACCCCAATCCTCATCTCCATGCCCTGTGAACCCCAACACCTCCAGCCCCTGTACTGACACCCTGCCCCCCAAACTCCCACAGCCCCCTCCCCACACCCCCCTCTTCATGCCCCGACACCCCCTCCCCTGAACCAAGCACACCCCAGGCACTGGCTGGGCAGGGTGCTGGCAGAGCCCCTCTGGGGTGTCCCCACCATGTCCCCAGCAGTTGGTGGTTGGGGATGTCACAAGGCTGTGGTTGGGGGCACATGTCCCTGTCAACAATATAAGGGTGGCAGTGGGCAAAACCCCCCAAGACCCAGGTGAGGAGCGGAGACAGGGCCATACGAGTGGGATTAGTCCTCAGCTGCAGGGCTGGGGGTTCCTGAGTCTGACACTGGGGGGCTCTGGGTGCCAGGGGTGGAGGGGGCATGGTGGGGGACAGAATGGCACAGGATGCCCAGGGTGGGGAGTGACCCAAGGGTGGGAAGTGAGGAACTGAGCACATGGTGGGCACAGGAGGGCTGGGGTCTGTGGGGATGGCCATGGGGGTGACAGAGGGGATGGGGCACGGGGTGGCACTGGGGATGGTGGAGGGACAGAGGGGATATGGGGGGATTTCTGAGGGGATGTGGGGAGGACAGGGTGATGCTAGGGGTGGCAGAGGGCCCATGGGGATGTCCTGAGGGTGTCCAAGAGTGATGAGACTCTGGGCTCTCCCAAGGGTGCTAGCGGTGTCCCCTGTGTCTCTGTGCCATGTGGCCCTGCTTGCTGATGGCCCTGGCCCTGCTGGGCACAGTTCCTGTCAGCCACTCTGGTAAGTGCCCCCCACACCCCCACCTGCTTGCGGGGACATCCTGGGGACACCCCTGATCTCAGGGTCACCCAGCCAGTGTCCGCAGCTCTTGGCAGCCCTGCGGTGGAGGATGAGGAGGACGTGACAGAGCTGGAGATGCCCAAGGAGTACAGTGGGTGCCGGGGGGCCGGTGACAAGCAGGCACTCGGTGTCCCCAGCATGCCGGGCACCGCCACCTGCCGCTACGTCGTCATCTCCCGCTGCCGAACCTTCCACCGTGCGCAGGTGGGATGGGGTGGGATGGGTGGGGGGTTGGGGTGGGGGCACCAGTGCCCCCCGTGACAGCTGTGTCCCTGCAGCGCATCTGTGCCAAGCGCTTCCATGGGCGCTTGGCCTCGATCCACAATTCCCACACCAACACCTTCCTGCTGCACCTGGCGCGCCAGCACACCAACGCCGGCCTGGTCTGGATCGGTGCCGTCAGCCAGCCCGCCGTAAGGACCTGCCACGCACCCACCACCCTGGCTTTGGGGCACCCTGTCTCCTCCCAGTGTCCCCAGTGCCCACCTGGGTGCTCCAGCCTTGTCCCAATATCTCTAATGCTCACCCTGGATATCCCATTCCCATCCCACCGCCACCCAGTGCTGGGAGTCCCCACGCCCTTTCTCCCCTGGCAGATCCCAATCCCGAGCTGCCACTGGACTGACAGGAGCCCCTGGAACTACAGCCGGTGGGTGCCTGGACACCCCCTGCCCGGCCGCCGCTTCTGCACTGCCCTCTGCACCAACAGTCAGTGGGGGCTCTACAGGAGGGGCTCGGGGGGTGCTGGGGTAGCCCCTGCCCATGATGGGGGAAGGGTGCTGAGGGGCTCAGGATGGGGAGGTGACACTGGGGGACTGGTATAAGGTGTCTGGGGGGCTATCCCTGGGGCTGGAGGGGGTCCCTGGAGATGGGGGTGCTGGTGGGCAACAGGCTGATCCCCCCTTCTCTCCCCAGATGGGCTCTGGAGGAGTGTGCGCTGCAAGCGGTGGCTGCCCTTCATCTGCGAGATATGAGGGGCTCAGCCCCCCGGGTGCCTCCGGGCCTCCCCTACTGCTCTTCCCCTACAGGGGGCTGCACCCCCTCCCTCAGAGTACAATAAAATCTTGGTGTCAGCACCCACTTGGTGTTTGGGCAGGGCCAGGGAGCCTGGCTGGGTGCACCCAGGGTGGGCACAAAGGGGTTTTGGAGGTGTCCCTTCTACCCTGCACAGTGCGGGCGATGGCAGTGTTCCCTCTTCCAGGATCTCTGATCCCTGCCCACTGCCCAGGAGAAGAGCCAGGACTCTCCAAACTGACCAGCGAGGTTTTATTGTCTGTGGCAGTGGCACCACGAGCTGGACCCATTGCCCTGTGTCCAGGGCCATACACGAGCAGGGGGGAGGGGAAGGGGGGCTTGTGCCCACCCCCAGACCCTTGAGGACCAAGGGGATGGGGTACGGGGGGGATGGGGAGGAGGTGCTGGGAAGACAGGGACCCTGCGAGCTCGTACAAAGTGCATAGGTGTGTGGTGTGTGTGTGTCCCCACGGGAGGGGACAGCCCTGGTCCGGGGACAGCGGGCTTCAGCGTCGGAGTGAGCCTGGAAGGGACACAGAGGAAGGGGGTAAGGACCCTGCAGGGCCCCCCCAGGGATGACCCATCCCAGGGGACCCAGCCATAGCACAGAGGAGGGAGGGGATTACCCCCAGCACTGCCTGAAATCCCACACTTACCCTGCTCAAGGCTTCTTCCTTTTTAGCTTTAACGCCTGCAGCCAGTGTGGGGGAGAGGCCTCAGATCTGGGGAATTGGCAGAGTTTCAGCAGGAGCTCCCCAAAACCAGGCCCAGGACCCAGACTGACCCCACAGCACCCCCTTTTGCTTCCATGAGGATCCTGGCCCCACACTCACCCTGAGGACTTCTCTGGCTTGGGGGGCAGGGCTGGGGGTTTCCCACTCACACCAGGGATCTTGCAGGACTTGGAGCGCTGCACATGGGGGTCTTTAGGAGGGGTCCCCTTGCTGTCCCCTGTCCCCTCCTCGGCCGAGCGGTTGCGACCCCTCAGCTTGGCCTGGGGGCAGAGAGAGAAGTCAGGAAAAAACAGTGCTTTGTCCCCCAAACCCCACCACTGCCTTCTCCCTGTCTTTAGCCAGGCCCCAGCCCCACCCTGCCTTAGTTTCCCTGCATTCCACCCTCCCTTCCACCCTGCAGCCAGGAGTCCAAGGGAGTCACCTTGATGGCGGAGGCGCTGAGGCCAGGAAAGAGCGGCACCTTGACCCCCCTGCCCGAGGATGAGCCGCGCATGCGCCGGCTCCGGGGCTCCTCTGCCGCCTCCTCGTCAGAGGATGCTGCTGGGGCTGGCCGAGGCTCTGTGGGGACACAGGGACAGTGTCACCATGACACTGTGCCAGGATAGACACACCACTCCCATCCCCATTCCCGCTGGGCTCACCCGTGGAGTCCCGGAAGATCCAGCTCTCTCCCTCGGTGGTGGTGGGGCGCAGGGACGGCGCTCGGTGCTGGCGCTTGCGGCCCAGGCTGGCCTTGCAGCGCAACACGCTGCTGTCCAGGAGCTCTGTGTCCTGCAGAGCCCAGGGGACGGGTCACAGCTGGCACAGGGAGCTCAGAGACCCCCCACCCCAGCCAGCATACCCCCAGCCCCCACAGCAGTGCTGGGGGCTCTCAATCCATGGCTGTCCCTGGGGGCAGCAGGGTCAGAGAGCCCCATCCACCGACACATCCTGTGTCCCAGGCCATACAGGGCGATTGCAATCTCCCCACTTCCACTCACCTCCAGAAGAGGAAATTCCTGTCCCTGCTCCACAGACCGCTCAGGCTGGGGGGTAGTCAGTGAGAGCTGCTGCTCCCCCCAGCTCGAGGGCCTCTCCCCATCTGGGTGGTCTGAGGGCTGCTCCTCACTTCCTCTTTCTGCTGGGATCCCACTGGCAACCTCTGGCAGCAGAGGGGCGACCCTGGGGCTCTGTAGGGCAGCAGCTGGTTCAGAGGGATGCCTCTCCTCCTCAGAGTGGCTGGGTGACTCACTCCAGGGGGGCTCCACAGCTGGGCAATAAGCTGGAATGTCACCCATGGAAGGGCTGGGGGCTGACCTGCTAGGGGGACAAAACCGCAGAGTTGCTTTAGCCCAGGTAACACCAGCCCTGGCCCAAACCCCTCCGTCTGCCTCAGAGGAAGCTGTTCCCTCCCTGCCACCACCAGGGCCCTCCTTACCTATGCTCTGCACCGGTGTCCCCTCCCACGCTCTGCTCCCCCGCACCAAGGTC